CTTCTCCATTCATACTAAAATATCGATACTTAGACATAAGGAGAAGAGATAATTAGGGATAAAAGAGAGAACCGTTTTGAAATAACGGAGGAATTAATTTTTGAAATTTTTTTTATTATCTCGGCGCTAGATGGCGCTGTAGGCCAATTTTATTGAATTTCCTTGAGTTTTTTCAAACAAATACTCAAATGAGAGGTCTTCATAAGAAAACTCAGTCGTGATGTGATCTTAAACACCGCAGTTAATATTTTAAATAGAAAATAATTTATTTGCTGTGTTTTTTATTATTTTGGCTACTTTTTCTTCGCTCTTACCTTATTTTTTGCTTTTTATTTTGGTTTTCAAAATCATCGTCTCAAATAACACTATAGGGGAGCTCACGTGGAGTAGCATTTTAGGTGTAAAGTTGCTACGTAGCAATCTACCACATGTTTTGTTGCTCTCCCAAAAACAAAATGCGTGCTAGATTGCTACGTAGCAACTTTACACCTAAAATGCTACTCCCCTCCCCTCCGCCCATCACGCACAAAACGATCGGCCTTATTCCTTAAAACTTTCTAGATTTTCTTATGCAATGCAATATGAATCAATTGAATGTCGATTCTCTTATTTTTTGGATCGATTCACGGATCGAATCAGAACTAAAAAAATGTACGAAAAATCGGATCCAAAGGGCTCAATTAATCGATCTGCGATTTAAAAATGGTATCTTTAGGTGATACCGGAAGCACAGAAACAAAAAAATTACACTATCAAATTATACGTACGATGACAATCAGAACACAGAATATGTACAACAAACACTTCATTTTGACATCAGCACAATACGCCTTGATATCAGCTCTCTGATAACATCACCTTATGTGTAAGAATCACATTTAGCAGACGGTTTTGAAGTGTTTGTTGTTCTAATATTGAAAAATAAAATTTAAATATCCTAGCTTATAAACTGTTAGACTTCGAGCGTTAAAATGGCAAACATTAAACCCACTATTATGTTCGCATGTAACTTTAAGAGCTATTCTTAGATTGTCGTTGATAGTGTGCCTTATGTTGCTAAACATATTGCAATGGTATCAGAGTCTTAGTGGTTTACCAAAAACGCTACCGCTCGCTTGGATGTACATAGGGTTCGAACGATACTATCGATATTGAGTAAGTATCGATACTGAGGGTATAAAAATGAGTACTTTAATGCTCGATAACTTATTTGGTGCTTTTACTCAATACTTTGCAAAGTACTCGTAGTATCGAATACTTTTTGAGAAACACACTTTTTAAATTTTTTCTTCCATTGGCAACCCAATTTTCTTTGCTTATATGGATTACTATCATTCAATTTTGTCCATCATTTAAAATAAACTGATACTGCGTGTCTGTTGCTTAACATAAACCAAATAAGTTGAAGTTTAATGGCCTTATTCATAAAAAATAAAGTAGGTTTAAAGAGCTTAATAAAATGCCATTTTCATATATTTTTCAGTTTATAAACCTTTTTTATTTTTATGAATAAGGTCATAAAACTTTACGCAAGTTCACGAAAATGCAGAATTTTTAGAAACTTTTTGGGTATGCAGTTTTGTAACCTATTCAAATTTACGTCTAGCCTACTACCGTTGTCTTTTAATTCAAACTTGCACATTAGCTCTGATCCAGTACTCCATGAACTTACAGGATTTTACACGTACTTGCAGGAAGTTGCAGGAAAAATGTTCCCGTACTCCAAAATCCTGTAAATGAGAGCGACTTTTGAAGAGTTGTGTAGAGAATGAAGTTGCAAGATTTTACCCGAACTTTTTCTTCTGGTAAAATCATGAAAAGTGTCAAGCAATCACTGGTTGACGTTTTTACAGGAAAAAAGGTTTTTTTGTTCCCGTACTTTTTGTTGTTACTCACTTTTTACTCTCACTTCAGAGAGTAATTTTGCTGTTTGACAGTTTTACAGGATTTTTCACGAAAAGTATTGGATCAGAGCTAATATTATACTAAAATTGAATAGGCTACAAAAATGCATACCCAAAAAGGTTACACAAATTTCTTAACAAAATGTGAAATTCGTGAAAGTATATATATATATGTATGTAAGTACATTTAACGTTAAAATTACATCTAACGTGAAAGTAAGTTCTGCAATGAAATAAAAATCATATATTTTAAATTTCTACTGTTTTAATTGCAGGAAATAACTAGATATACGATTGAAAAATAAAATAATTTTAGTATCCCAAAAAACGTTTTTTTAATGAGTCCGATACTGAGTAGTATCGATACTTTTTCCCTGATACTTTTAGAGTATCGATACCATGAGCTCGATGCCAGAATGAGTACTCAGTATCGATACCAAAGTCTGAAATTTCGAACCCTAGATGTACAAAATCGAATGAAATCTATTTTTCTAAGATGGCGCTTCACTTGTACAAGGCGGTTATTGACATAACGAGTAATAATAAAACTGGTATACAAACAAACGAGTAATGAGTCCTAAGGTCTAGTTACAGTTTCATCTTAACAACTAACTCTTAACGTCTAGTTAAGGTGTGTAAGTATAAGCACATGCCTACTCTACTACTGTTTCCTACAGCTCGGCCGTCCTGACTTATAGGAGCTCCTGATTCTACGACGTTTTTGTAAAAACAAAGTTTTGGTCACAGCAATCAAAACTTTTAATTTTGCTTGGGTTTCTAGTATTTTTATCACAACGATTTCCTCTAAAATTGCACCAAGGTTTCAAATTTGTTATCGACCAGGTGCCTTTATATGGAATCTGTGTCTGCTGAAAACCTTCTACATCTTCGACTATGTAGCGATCGTTTTCCAGAACTTTAGTTATTCTGTTCGGTCCCTTGAACTTGGGTATCAATTTGCTAGACACACCTACTTGTGAACTGACATTGGAGACTACAACGTAGTCTCCTACGATAAATTTGCGTGGTTCTCGCCGTTTTTTATCTGAGTACGCCTTGTTGTAATTCTGTGCTTTACGTTGCTCTATTTCTGCCTGTTCTCTGACGTTTTTTATTATTGATGGACTAAAATTTTGTACTGGTTCTATTACATTTTCTCTGATACTATCTACGATCTTTCCTTTTTGCCTAACTCCGAACAAAAGTACACTGGGTTGTTCCCTAGTCGATTTGTGCACCGTATTGTTCATGGCATGTTCTGCCGATTCTAACATTTTTTCCCAGCTTATCTCTTTCTCAGAATCTACCATTTTTGCCAACATAGGCCCTAGGCTTTTGTTCACAATTTCAACCTGCCCGTTTGCTTGAGGCGAGCTTGTCGCAACTTTTATGTGTTCTACACTACTTTCTTCTAAAAATTCCTCGAACTCTTTTGACGTGAAGCAGGTTCCTCGGTCTGACACTATGAACTTTGGTCTGCTATAGGCCCGGAAACAATCTTTTAAGGCTGTAATGGCATCTTTTGAAGCGGTGGTTTTCGCAGGGTAGAGACGAACAAACTTTGAGAAAGCGTCGATCACCACTAAGATGTGTTTTGTACATTTGCTATGAATGGGTCCGTAATGGTCAATTTCGAACGGCACCTTTCCTTTTGGAATCATGTGTAACTGCCCTTCCTTTTTACCGCTCTTACACGAAAATTCTACGCATTTCAAACAATTTTCTATGTGTACTGACGCCTTTTTTTAACATTGGGGAACCAGTAACTTTTCCCTATTGTCTCTACCACCTTATCTATACCTAGATGTCCCATTTCGTCATGGTATTTAAACAAAACTTGTTCTTCCATAGGCTCGGGTACGTAGAAAAGTAAGTCTTTGTCCTTCTTCTTATAGATTAATCCGTTTCTCATCTCATAATGACTGTTTTCCGTAATTTTTTTTATCTTTCCAATCCGTTCGTCTCGACTTTGACATATAATTAAGTTTTCTTCGAACGTATTGGTGTGAATCACTAGCACATTGTTTACTCTACCTAGCGCGTCTACGTGTTGCATTCTTTTCCCTGACCTATGCTCAACCTCGTAATCTAACGCCCACCTCGCAATTCTTGGGTTCATATCTTTTTTATTAAGTGTCAATGTCAGGGAGTTGCAGTCAGTGACTATCTTAAACTTAATACCTTGCAGATATACCCTGAACCTTTCCAACGCATACACTATCGCTAGTGTTTCTAATTCGAAGCTGTGATATTTGGATTCTACATCCGTCGTTCGTTTGGAGAAATAAAACACTGGATGTAGTTTCCCATCTTTTTTTTTTGTAACAATATTGCTCCAAATCCTAGAGAACTTGCATCGCAGTGTAACTCAGTGGAGTCGTTCGGGTCGTAGATTGCTAATAGAGGGGACGCAATAAGTTTTTCTATAAGGGTTTTAAATGATTATATTTCTTCTTTNGTAACAATATTGCTCCAAATCCTAGAGAACTTGCATCGCAGTGTAACTCTGTGGAGTCGTTCGGGTCGTAGATTGCTAATAGAGGGGACGCAATAAGTTTTTCTATAAGGGTTTTAAATGATTATATTTCTTCTTTCCCGAACTGGAACTTCCTATCTTTTTTCCTAAGATCATAAAGAGGTTTGGCTATAGTCGCAAAATCTTTTATAAACCTTCGGAAGTATGAGCACAAGCCTAAATAACTTTGAACTTCCTGGACTTTTGTTGGGACCGAAAAATTTTCTATTGCCTTTAGTCCCTTTTCGTCGGCTTGAATACCTTTGTCGCTAATGATATATCCTAAGTACGATACCTTTGACTGTAAAAACTCGCATTTATCCAGTCGTAGCTCTAAATTATTCTGAACAATCCCCGACATAACTTTTTCCAATATTTCTAGATGCTGTTGTACGCTTTGCGTTGCTATCATAAGGTCGTCTAGATAAATTATAACTTCTCCACTTCGGATCATGTCGGCAAAATTTTATTAATGAACTTCTGAAATGTTGCGGATGCATTTTTCAGTCCGAATGGCATCCTCAAAAATTCGAACTGTCCCAAGGGGGTAGTGAAGGAGGTGTACTTAACTGAGTCTTCGTTTATAAAAACGTAAAAAATCCGTTTTTTAAGTCTAACTTAGTGAATATCTTTTTGTTCGCCAACCTGTCCAGTAAATCGTCTATAAGTGGCATGGGATAACTGTCTTTGACTGTAACCTTGTTTAGTTTCCTATAGTCAACGCATAACCGAAGTTCAGCTGTTTTCTTTTTAACCAATACTATTGGCGACACAAATTCTGATTCGCTTGGTCGTATGTATCCCTTTGCCAAATATTCGTCTATTATTTTTTGTAGCGTTTCTTTCTCACTATAAGATAGTCTTCTCGGAGGACACGCAAATGGCTTATCGTTTTCTAGCGCTAGTCGCATTTCCTTTCTTACAAGGGGCTCACGTAACTTTTTTGAGTTCACATAAATTTTCCTAAACATCTGCACGAAACTTTCTTTTTCTCTACAGCTTAGCTGTTCACCTACTTTGAGATCTACGTCCGTTTCTTCGCAAGCATCTATTGCCATAATTTCATTTAACACTTCGCTAATATTACCTTCGTTTGCACCCTCTGTGCTTTTCACTTTTTCGCACTTGCCCTTGTTTTCCACGACTAAATTGCTCACTTTCTCGACTTTGTGCATTTTCTCAACTTTGTTTTTGTTCTCTACTTTGTCCACAACATTTTCTACTTCCACTTGTGTAAACTCGACATTTCCTATCTTCAACTTTGCGTCACTAGTTTCAATAAAATCCCTGCCTAGCAAAACTGAATAACCCATACATTCGTTTGGAACCACTAGGAGTTCAACTGAATCATATTTATTCAATACTTCTGTGTAACATTTCATTTTTCCAACTATACTCAAAGTGGACTTATTCAACCCGTAATATATTTCTTTGACATCTTCTGATTTTGCTCCTGCTGGCACTACAACTTTCTTGATTAGGCTAACGGGGCTTCCTGAGTCGACTAAACATTCTACGAACATATCACTATTAGCATGTGCTGATACATATAATTTAAAATAACTTACGAAAGTGTTCTTGCTTTTTTTATATTGACTGCACTCCGCTGATTGGTGGCCTTGCTGTCCGCAAGCGAAACAGGAACCGGCTTCTCTTTTCGGCATTCTGCAGTCCTTTGCGTAATGGCCAGAGCAGTTGCAATTGTAGCATCGCATCCTGTTGTCTGGTCGAGGCTTTGTGCTGGACGCTCAGGGAGATTAATGCAGCGGAACGCCCTCACTACGTCGTTCGCGGAAGTAAAATTTCGTAACCTAGCCTGATTACGTAGTTGCCTGTCAGGTATGCCTTCTATGAGGTAGTCCGCGAGGTCCTCGTCGCTCAGGTTGAGCCCGCCGCCTAGCAGACATTTTTCGTTGAAATAGTTGGCGAAACTCTCCTCGGGTGTCCATGTCCGCTTTTCGAACGTTTTTGGGAAACGCCGGCTTTGCACTATACCATGCCAGGGCTGCGCCTCTCAGTTTGGTGTGGATTGCGACACCCAACATAGCGTCGTTTACTTGTAGTACTTCGCGGTAATGTAGCAACTGATTGTGCCAAGCGTTGAAACCGTCGCCGCCATCGTATGTCGGTATGATGTCCTTCAACGTTTCGAACGGGACACCCTCCCTTATTCCTTTGCTTGCGTTGGTATTCGCCGCCATTTCATTTTCTTTTTCCAACAAAGTCTTTTGCAAATTTAGAAGTTCAATTTATTTTTGTAGCAGTTGAATTTTTAAATTGCTTGCTTCAACACTACCGTTGTCGACGTCGGGCATGGGCTGAACTGTCGCACCGTTGGTTGCTGTGTCGTCTCTCGAACTGTTATCCGATAAGCGGTGCCCAAATGTACCGCTACGTGTACACGACAATATATTTCGCATGTATACCGCGCCATCATCGTTGTCTGTACCATAGCTGTTCCCGTTGTCTTCCTCGCCGTTGTTTTGACCGTTACTCCTACCGTTGTTCTGACCGTTGTTCGGAACGTTGTTCTGACCGTTGTTCTCCACATTGTGCTCACCGTGGCTTTCCTCGTTGTTCTCACCATTGTTTTCCACGTTGTTCTCATCGTTGTTTCTGGCCACACTTTTCTCGCGCTGTTACTGACCATTTACATTTTCCATCTCTTCGTCGTCGCCACCATCTAAAACGCTTTTTTCGCCTGCCTTGTCAACTGGGCATAATCCTCGCGCCTCCACAGAAAGCTCGCTTAACCTGGCGGCTAATGACGCTTTTGCACCGCTGGCATTGATGCCTACAGGGCAGATCGCCACCGTTTAGGTCGGCGAAGTATCTCAGAAGTTGTTCGTCCATAGGGCTACATTCACTACGTATTCTACTACTCAGGGCTGGCATCGAGTCAAACCCAGGGCCAGAAATCTACACCTGCTGTGTATGCCGGAGACGACTACACCACAACTCCACCTCAGTCAAGTGTAATGCCTGCGAGGGGTGGAGTCACCTTAGAGTCTGCTCAGGACTACGGACACATCGACAGTGGACCACGTCGTACGTGGCCCCCTCTTGATCAAACAGAGCAGCCTCCACGGCTAACCTCAGTCCACCCTAGCAGCCTCACACAGTCACCACAATACAACAACATAATAACACCACAGACCATACCACATCCACGACAGACCACATAACGACAGACCGCCAACAACTCCTGGTTCCCCCCACAATCTGCACGGTATGTCAGACCAGGATATTCCGTAATGTGACATCAGTCAAGTGCAACACCTGCCTTGGCTGGTGCCACTTTAGGGCATGCTCAGGTCTGCGTACCACGCGAGATTGGACTGGGAACTTCGAGGGCCCGTGTTGCGCTGCTCGGTCGCAGACCTCAACTGCGACGCCTCCCGCCACCACCACAGGGCGGCAACCATCACAGCAGCGCACACAGCCAACGGCGGTAAGAACACACACATCCCTTACACCCCACATCACGACACGTCTCCCGAACCACATGAAGCTCCTCCAATTCAACTGTAACGGGCTACAGAGCAAGATTGAGGAGATAACCGTCTTCATGTGTCGGCGTGATATAGCTGCGGTCCAAGAGACGAAGTTGCCCAGCAATTCAACTTTGTTGATTTGCGCCGGGTACTACGTGCACCGTCGAGATCGCGAGCGAGATAATGGTGGTGGCTTAGCGTTCATCACGCACCACACCGTGCAGTATCGTCTTATCGAAGCAGACATCGACCGCAGGGATACCACCCTAGAATGTCAGGGCATTGCTATCCGGTCAGGCGATGTCGAGCTCGAAATATTTAACATATACATACCCCCTGTCACCTGCTGCCCGGCAGGATATCACCCTGATATAGGTGCGCTCCTCAGNTAAAATATTTAACATATACATGCTGCCCGGCAGGATATCACCCTGATATAGGTGCGCTCCTCAGAGGTGAAAACCGTATGGTAGTAGGTGACTTTAATGCGCACCACGATCTTTGGCACTCAAGCCTGTCAAACGATCGTAGGGGAACAGACTTGGCTGAGCAGATAGACGATTCGACATTCTGCACAATGAACGACAACGCACCTACCAGGATTATGGGTAACTGCAGTAGCTCGCCAGACATCACCATAGTCAGCGCTGGTCTGATAAACAGCATAACATGGCGACCTATGCTGACTTTAGCATCAGACCACCTACCCATAGTCATCTCGATAGATAAACCAACCGACTTTGCCTCCGCCAAACACCGGACCTATATCAACTTTTCTAAAGCTGATTGGAAAGGTTACGCGGAGTTTACCGAAAACACCTTCACAGCGCTTCCCACACCAACCGACGTCCATCTCGGTGAACGTAAGTTCCGCAGGGCTGTCACTGCTGATGCAGCTCGCTTCATACCGGCAGGATGTATAACGGACCCACGTCCAAAATTCCCTGCCGAAGCGGCTGTTCTAACCGATGAGCGTGATAGCCTTCGTCAGGCCGATCCCGGAGATCCCCGTATCAGGGATCTCAACGCGGTGATTCGGCAACTAGTAAACGTACATAAGCGGAAGAAGTGGGAGGAGCATCTGAAGACCTGTAACTTCACCTCTGGTGTGAGCAAGCCTTGGTCAACCGTGAGGTCGCTGTCCAATCCGACGAAGCACGACGACAGAATCGAAATTTCCTTCGGTGACCATGCTTCGTCGGACCCGAAGCGATGCGCGAGCTATTTTAGCCGGAAGTTCGTACTGCATCCTCCGGGGGACAAAGCAAAGCGTCGAGTGACCAGAAGGCTGCACAAACTGCCAACAACCTGTGCCCCCCTTGCTTTCACTTGAGGTGAAGTTCAGGTGGCCATCGGGAAGGTGAAAGCCTCCAAAGCCATGGGTCCCGACGGAATATCCATGCTGATGCTGAAAAATTTGGGTCCTGCGGGGGTAGCGTACCTAACGGAGGTCCTCAATTTGTCTATGGCCACTCTCATCATCCCAGACATCTGGAAGGTGTCCCACAGAGGCTCAAACGGTGGTCGGAAAATTATCTGAGTGGTCGACACTCATCGGTAATGTTTAGAGACAAAACGAGTAAATTCAGGAAAATAAAACAGGGGGTTCCACACGGTGGTGTCCTTTCCCCGCTACTGTTTAACTTTTACATTTCAAAGCTCCCTCAACCACCAGAGGGAGTCTCGATTGTCTCTTACGCCGACGATTGCTCGATCATGGCGACTGGGAATGGAATGACCTGTGTACGAAAGTAAACGGGTATCTCTCCGAACTTTCTCGCTTCTTCACTGCAAAGTGTCTAACCCTCTCCGCTACAAAATCCTCTGCGACCCTGTTCACAACCTGGACGAAGCAGGTCAGGCTACCGCTGGGAATTCACGTCGATGACACACCAATTCCGACGGTGAATAACCACAAAAAACTCGGAGTAACATTCGACAGCCTGCAAAGACAAAGAAACGTTGCTGGCAACATACAAGGCAATAGGCCGCCCGGTTTTGAACTACGCAGCTCCAGTGTGGTCGCCGGGGACTAGTAGGACGCAGTGGATGAAGCTACAAACTGTACAGAATACCGCACTCAGGACAGCGAGAGGATGCCTCCTGATGTCGCCCGAACACCATGTCCACGGCGAGGCGCAAATGCTGCCCGTAAAGGAGCACAACATAATGCTCTGCAAGCAGTTTCTGATCGGAAGCCACAGAAGTGGCCACCCAAACAGACAGCTGCTTGCAGAGGAGCCCTCGCCTAGGCACGTCAGGAGGCATCTATATGAACTGACGGACGAAGTCCAACCTCTGGACATGTCAGCTTATCGACTGGCCCTGAACGGCATTCACAGGGAGTCAGTCTCGAGTTATGTAGACTCTAGACCTGTGAATGCCGTTCTAGGCATACCGCCCCCGGACACAGACGAGACGGAGCTTCATCTGCCTCTGGAGACACGAACGACATTAGCACAACTTCGCTCCGGCTACTGCAGCAGGTTAAACTCTTACCTGAGTAGATTGAATGAGGAAGTGCCAAATGAGTGTCCGGCATGCGGAGAGACCCCACATGACTTGACGACAACGACTGAGATACCAACCGTCCTGGGCGGGGTTGTTGTAGCCGCTAGAACAACAACAACAACAACATGCCTACAGCAGCGCCACAGGCCTTCAGCTGCAATAGAGAGTATCTTTCCGCAATTACCGCATCGCGATTCATTTTAAAACTTAAGTTTTTACTAAAACTTTTACACGGAATTTAAATTTTATAATCAAAATGGGTTCAAAGACCACTTCTGATGCAATGGTATCAGAGACTTAGTGGTTTACCAAAAACGCTACCGCTCGCTTGGATGTACAAAATCGAATGAAATCTCTTTATTTTTCTAAGATGGCGCTTCACTTGTACAAAGCGGTTATTGACATAACGAGTAATAATAAAACTGGTATACAAACAAACGAGTAATGAGTCTTAAGGTCTAGTTACAGTTTCATCTTAACAACTAACTCTTAAGGTCTAGTTACAGTGTGTAAGTATA